CTGAAATGTAGGTGAATCTGGATGTGGGGGATGACAGGAATAGGGAAGAGCATTAAAAAAAATTATACATACAAATATAAAAAATATCTAAGTTTGTCTGTGCTTCTAGCACATAAAAATAGGTATCAAATAACGTATAAAATAACTGTTTTTCATCTAGAGAAAAAAAACCCTGCTAATTCTGAAATGTCTCCTATACACAGGCAGCTACTTGTAAGCAGAAAACAACATTTGGGGCATCAGACACATACCTGGCCTCTTGCTATGAGGTAGGCTATGATGGGCATGTGTTGGAACAGCACTGCTAAATGAATGCTACTGAATCCTTCCCCATCAATAAGACTGGGATCCGCTCCACATTTCAACAATAACACGACCATCGGAAGGTGTCCTTGTCTACAACAATATGTGAAATGAAACTATAGAGATCATTTAAAAAATGGATATTTTAATGAAAGCATTGCCTTACTAATTCTCATAGGCATCCCACAAAATATTTCAGCTTCTCACAGCTTTATTTAGGAAATTACATTAAATACATACGGCCTAATAAATGAGCCTAGGGCAAAGCATTGATTTAGACTGCAGTGGTTATTCTACAGTAACTCCTCCTGTGAGCAGTCATCCAAGCCTCTGACTCTGGCAAAAGACTGACAGTCCAGAAGAAAGCACTCATTTTCCAACAGGAGACTTTGCACTTGGAGAAGTTTTCCCAGAATAATTACTTCAGGTTATGTTTTCTCCAGTCAAGCAGACAAGCTTTGTTCTCTGAATCTCAGAAAATGCTACCACAGCTTTAAGTACTAACAGATTTGCAGTTAGGGGTTGCAAGCAGCGCTACCTGATTGCCCAGTGCAGGGGCGTAGAATTCAAATCTCCACCAAGCTGATCCACTACCGCACCTTTGGAAATGTAATATCTGTGTAATAACAGCACAATAAGGTCAGAAGCAGATACAATAAAACAGCAAAACATTATACTAAAGATAACATATCTAAAGGAGTAAATGACTCATAGTAAAAAATTAACTGGAGAAGCAAATGGACAAAAGTGGTTTAGCAGTAAATAATGCTGTTTCAAGAAAATGTTGAAGAAAAAATAGAGTCATTAGCAAGGTACTTCTAAAATCAGCTTTCATCTTTGTTACAGAAACAAACCCAGAAAAATCTAATGATTTCATGTACTACATGATTTCACATATAAAGAAACAGACTACCTTTACATTTCAGTGACATTTTCACTAAGGTAAGTGCATTAAAATTTGAATTGTACCCTTCTCTTCTCAGGCAGTGTGTTCCTTTGTTTTTAAGCACAAAAGCAACAAAGTGATTATAGGTAACAGTGGCAGAATATACTGTGTTACTGTCACAAGGACTCCCAGCTTACTTTACCAGCTCCTGTCTGTTGTTTATTGCTGCCCAGTGAAGAAGAGTCACATTTTCTTTGTCTGGTTGTCGAACATCATATCCTGCTTCTACCAGTTCTTTGCATTGCTCTAGCATTCCATACCTTAAGTGAGAAAGAAAAAAAAATCAATTTACTTATCATTTCTCAGTATTCTCCACTCTGGAGACAGTTGCATCCAGAAGAAAAAAATACATCCTCAGTAAGCATCACCCAGTAGTTCCTACTGGAGCAAATTCCACACTGCATTCAATGGAAGTCTTGTAAAAAGAGAGGGGCTGTGCCTTGATGAGTGGAATTTTCTATTTAAAGAAAACTGCTCAAAATGTTTATATTTACAACATCAACAGTAAGTTATTTTTCTTCTTCCACTACAGGGAGAAAATGAAACTGAAAACATTTCCTTTGGAAAAATATCCAGCCTGGCTCACATTTGAGGACACTCCCATCTATTTCAACACTGCACACTCAGAACATGTACTTACTGTGTAGCCTTGACAATGCCACAGGTGCTGGGGTCTTCAGCAATGGGATATGGGCCTGGGAGACCTTTATCTTCATGGACGCTGTGGCTGCTGTGCATATGAAGTCGATGAGGCCCATGGCAATGGCTTTTACACTGGCAGTTAACAAAACAATTATTAACTATTGTTATTTATCGGCTGCACACCACACACACCTCTCCCTTTACCAGAAGCACTCACTGGGTGTAGTACGTTCTGTTAATACAAACGAAGATGTCAATTCAAAGCACAGTTAAAGCCTCCTGGCAAGAGACCAATCCTTTCATTTGCGGAGCACAGCAGGGATGGGGTAAAGGTGCATCAGGACAAATTACAGAGGCGTTCAGCACCCTGCAGAGCTGGTTCCCGACACAACAGCCTCACCCACAACAGCGCTACCATTCCAGAGACCACAAGCTACGGCCTTAGGGAGGGTTTGAAAAGCACTTGGCAACCACAGTGCCACCCGTGCAGCCAGAAACCCGACGCGAGGGAACAGACAAGGCACGCGCAAGGCACGACACGGACGGCTCTTTCCCGGGAGCCCCCGCTAGACCCCGGCGGCACCGCGGCCGCCCCGGCCCCTCCCACGCCGCCTGCCAGAGGCCCGCGGCCGCATACCCCGGCCCAGGCAGCGCCGGCTGCCAGCCCCGCTCCAGCCCCTGCGCTGCCCGCGGGCTCCCCGCTCACCGCCGGGCCGCTGCCCGCCATGCCCGCCGCCCGCGGCTTCCTGCTCCCGCTTCCTGGGCACGGCTGCGGGGCGGGGCCAGGCAAACACGGCCCGGGCGGGGCGGCTCCGGAACGGGGGAGCGCGGGGAGGCCCCGGGGAGCTTACCATGTGGCTGTTCCTGCCGCTGAGGAGCCGCTTGGCCGAGCAGATTGGCGGCTTCCAGGTTTGTTCAGCTGCTCCTGAAATGGCTCCTTCCCTTTTACCCAGGCAACCACACCGAAAAACTTTCGTTTTCGCACAGGATCCTCCCCGGTGGCGTACAAGACAAGAATTTTCTGCTGGCGAATTTTGGGGCTTGAGCCTCACCAGCTGGAACGGATCCCTTGGTGAAGGCTCTGGAGCACGTCTGATGAGGAGAGGCTCAGGGAGCTGGGGGAGCTCAGCCTGGAGAAAAGGAGGCTCAGTGGGGACCTTCTGACTCTCCACAATTCCCTGAAAGGAGTAATGTCATCTCCTTGCTGGCCTGGTTCCGACAGGAGTTCAAGGCCATTTGGGACCATTTCCACCCCCAGCTGAGCCCCAATGTCCCCTCATAATGACCGCCAGGGTGAGGGAGCAGCCGCCATTTTAGGGCAAGCTGTGAGGGGCAAGTGGCCACTCCCTGAAGAAATGGAGATAAACTGGGAAAGCACCCAAACGTGTCAAACATGCACAAGCTTCCCAGGTGAGGTGGGACCCTGGCAGCTTTCAGAGTGATGCCATCTCCTCTGGCCTGAGGAGAAACCTCAGCATGGGGTGACCATAGACCTCCAGCTCTCAAACATCCTGGGGCTGTGGGGACACGGGGATCTCCTGCTCTGGAGGAAATGTGTCATGACCCTTGGACAACTGGCAGTCACAAGTCAGGTCATCGGATAAGGGATAATTATCTCTCCCATCTCAGCCTCCAGACCAGGGCTGAAACACAAAGATCTCACCACCCTGTCACAGTGGCGTCCTGGCTGCAAGGATCATGGCTCAGGTCAGGTCCTCAGGGAGAGACTGGGAGAGCCATTCAGGACACAAGAGCATCAGCAGCCCTCATAAAAGGGAAGAAAACTGAAAGAGTAGGCACAATACTGGAAAAAACTTCCACATTTATTTCCAAAACCCTGTTTTGGTAAGTCAGAGCTGTAGGCAAAAGGTGGCACAGGTTTATTAGATGGCACCTGCCCACAGGAAGAAACCTGAGTGTTTTCCTGTCACTGGTTACGGCACTCTCCATCACCACCGATTGTTTTTAAGGCAGAGGAAGATATTTTTGAGGGGGTACACTGAATCCAGCATCATGGGAGTGACTCTGGCATCTCAACATTTCCTGTGGGCTCCATGCACATGATTTAGGGTGCTGCAGACACAGTTGGTCAAAGGTGCAGCCCTACCTCCCACAACAGGGGAAGAAAGAGGAAGAGTTCATCAGGACTCAACCTGAAATGACATTTTGTCGCTTCTAGTACTTTGCACAGCTTTGGTAAGAGAGCAACGTCTCTGTGCCTGAACCACACCAGCCCTTCGAATGTACACACATATCTCGGCAGGTTCCAGCCGGGCTGCGCTGGGTGGACTGCCGTGGCCAGGATAGTCTCAGTGGAGGCTCAGGCTTGGTCCGATCTCCCACACCATTCCCAGCTGCGGGCACCTCAAGTGATTTTCAACTCTTTAGTGATTATCAGCTCTGTGTGATTATCAGCTCTTTTTGCTTCCTTGTGGCCGTGGCAGCAAAGGCAGGGAGAGAGAGTAGAAGGCTGTTTGATGATTCCGCAGGATTCTTTAATAGGGTCTCCCACGAAGGGTGTCAGTGACAGCTCTTCTGCTGAACCAGGTAGAATTAGGGGTTTTCATGCCCTACAGGGGTTTTGGAAACTGTCCAATAGCAAGAGTCAGGGAAAAGTGACCTATAGGCTTACAGAGAGATAAGGAGGGTCCAAAAGGTGGAAGAGAGGGGCTTCTAAGGCCCGAGTCATCATGACTTGGCATTTCCTAGCTCAGGCTTGTGACCACCAAGGAGGCCTTGCAGGCCCTGTGCCTGCTACCCACACACACACCCGTGTGTCAAACCAGGAAGCTACAAGAAGCCCTTGTCACTTTGAAAGGGCAGCTGTTGTTTCACTGTTGCATTTCTTGGCTCGGTAAAGCCTCTCCTAGCCGCACTCCAGCCTGTGCTTGAAGACACAAAAGTACCGTCCTGGAGGAAAGGCATGGGAAGCTTGACAAAGGCTGAAGGGAGCACTCTGATTACCCCTTTTCCCAAGAGGTTTCTTGAGCTGAAGTTGCTGACAAGGAGCAGACTTGACACAGCGCAGTGGGTTTGTTCTTTTATTTTTGGGGTCCTCAGTCCTGCGTGGGACTCGGTAAGTGGGTGCTGCAGAGGCTGCGGCAAGGCATCAAAAACGCCTGCCCCGCACCCAAGGGTGGCGCAAGATCTCCTCCAGCTCTGGCCTGTCGGCGGGCTGCTTGGCCAAGCACCACTGGATCAGATGTTGGCACTCTGGGGAGAGAAGCCAGAAAGCGCTGGTCACTTCGGCCGCGCGTGCCACGCCGACCCCGTCGGGCACGAGCCACCCCCCGCGGCCGGCCCTCGGGGGCAGATGGACGTTCTGTGGAGCTGCGTGAGGGCCACGCCGGGCTGTGCGCCGCCATCTGCCAAAGCCCGCCTTCTTGAGGCCGGACACCAACCTGGAGAGACCTGCTGCCAGAAGAAGAGCTGCCCCAGCACGATGTCACGGTCGTCCCTGAAGGGGAGGCAGCCGCAGACCATGACGTACAGCAGCACGCCCAAGGACCAGATGGTGGCCGCATGGCCGTGGTAGCAGCCAAGGCAGATCCACTCGGGCGGGCTGTACTCGCGCGTTCCTAGGGGAGACAGGCGGCGCTGTGCAGGCGCAGGCTGCTGCCTTCCGGAGCCTAGGGCCAGCCTCCTGGCTGAGGCAGGGGCTGCACCCGCGGCCACAACTTCCCCCCGAGGCCACCCTGCGTCCCCCCAGCCAGCTGGCCAAAGCCAAGAAACCATTCTGCAAGGCAAAGAAGGCCAGCGGAGCAGCCCAAGCCCTTGCGGGCCTGCCGAGCCCAGAGGCCGGGAGCTGGCTTTTGCCACCCCCTCTGTCGGCAGGGCCGGCAGCCGGCTCCTGGGGCACGGCATCTGCCCCGTGCCAAAGGGCAGATGGCCGAAGGCCGCAGCCCAGGAGGGAGTGGGGATGTGCAGTGCCTGGCACTGGGAGCAGGGCCCGGGCCGTGGGCTCACCGGCAAACTGCGTGAAGGCCCGCTCCTGGAGGAAGGTGCCGCAACCGAAGTCGATGAGCTTCAGGTCGCCGCTGTCCGGGTCCACGAGGAGGTTCTCTGGCTTGATGTCCCGGTGCAGGACGCCGCAGGCGGTGCAGTGCCGCACGGCCTCCAGCACCTGGCAGAAAAGCCAGCGCGCCATCTCCTCGCCGAGGAACTCCTGCTCCAGCAGGAACTGCAGGAGATCCTGCGATGCCTCCGGACGCTCCATCACCAGCACAAAGCTGTCTGGCAGCTCAAACCAGTCAAGGAGCTGGATGATGTTGCGGCAGCCAGAGCCCACCTTCTCCATCAGCACGATCTCCATGGGCACGCAGGTGCCATTGGGCTGTGAGGAGGAGAAAATCGGTGCCTCCCTTCAGCAGGCCTGATGCTGCCCTGGGGCTGTGCTGCGCCCTGCCCGGGATGCCCCAGTGCCCCCTTGCGCAGCCTCCCTGGTGCTTGGGCTTCCTCCCGCCCAGGGGATGCTTGGGGGTGCCCCCTGCCCGGCCCCACCACCGGGCTTTGTCATGCCCAGGCCCACCATGCTGCGGCTTGCAGGCCGAGCCCATGGCCCCCACCATCCCCCGCCTCCCACTCCCAGTCGGCGCCTCGGGATTCTCCCTGCCCGCCCCGCCCCACCCTGTCCCGCTCTGTCCCGCTGGCCTCGCCCACTCACCAGCTCGTCCCACTGCAGGA